TTACTTTAATGAGCTCTGGATTGAACCTTGAGAGTGATATGTTGTACTTGGGTTTTTTTAATTGTCCTGAAGTATCTCTTCAAAGGAATTACTCCCACTATTTTAAAGAGAAAACTGTATTTCTTTTCCAGGCAATTCCAGTTAAACTGCAACAGTCTCTTGCTTCAGAGAAATTGTAATAAACATTCTTTCTTTTAAACCAATTAAAAATTCTGCTGTTCAGTTATTTCAGTTTTCAGTTCCTTTTTGTTTGAAGTTTCACAATATGAAATCTCCCGTATGCTTTTTTGAACACTTTACCCTTGGCTGTATTTTATAGATTCATATGAGCAGATCCTCAGCAGACGTAAATTGTCACAGATCCACTGAAATCAATGGAGCTATCAGAATTTACCCCAGTTGAGGATCTGCCCCCCTTGATTTTGTAATCTTTCAGTCTGACAAACTGTCTAACACAGCCCTGAGCATTTCACCCAGTTATTCCTGCATCAAACCCAAGGATCTGAATTTAAATTATATACCCATCTGAACATATTGTTTAGAAAAAAGGAAAGAAGTACTTGTGGCACCTTAGAGACTAACCAATTTATTTGAGCATAAGCTTTTGTGAGCTACAGCTCCGATGCATCCGATGAAGTGAGCTGTAGCTCACGAAAGCTTATGCTCAAATAAATTGGTTAGTCTCTAAGGTGCCACAAGTACTCCTTTTCTTTTTGCAAATACAGACTAACATGGCTGCTACTCTGAAACCCATTGTTTAGAAAGATATCCAGTCTTGCTTTATGGTTAACAATGACCAACTATCATTTTTAAATAGCAATGGCTTTGTTTACACCAGATTCTAATGTTTTTTAAAATGTTTTAGTTAAAGTATGTCTTGACACATTTGCTAGCAAATTTCATTTTCCTGCTGCAGACATATGCCAAGAGAGGGCCATAGATATGTAGGGGGGAAGGGAGGGGGCCTGTGGGATTCCATTACTGTATGGATATTCCTGTTACCGTAGCCCATGGAGTTGAGAGAGGGAAGAGCGTCACAGAAATACCACACATTGGCTATTTCAGCTATGGGGCTGAAGTAGTCTCTGTGTAGTAGTCACTCTGCAGCCTGGATGTGAGGACTGTAATTTACATTCTTAGCCCACTACACCTTATTTTTTGAGGGATTATTTTTAGTCACAAATAAATAGGGTTCTGTGAAATAAATCCCTGAATAAAAAATAAAGCAAGGTAACTAGAAACTCATAGACTCATAGATATTAAGGTCAGAAGGGACCATTATGAACATCTAGTCCGACCTCCTGCACAATGTAGGCCACAGAATCTCACCCACCCACTCCTGCAATAAACCTTTCACCTATGTCTAAGCTACTGAAGTCCTCAAATCATGGTTTAAAGTCTTCAAGGTGCAGAGAATCCTCCAGCAAGTGACCCGTGCCCCATGCTACAGAGGAAGGCGAAAACCCCCCAGGGCCTCTTCCAATCTGCCCTGGAGGAAAATTTCTTCCTGACTCCAAATATGTGTGGTATTTCTGTCCCATCAATTCCCTCCAGAGACTCATATTCACCATACTTTTTCCTCATGTAGTGAGGAACTCATTTGTTTCCATCTAGCACACAGCACAGAAATGAGAGAGAGGACACCTAATGTTCATTAGATGTATCAAGGGATATAGGGACTCTTTTTGTGTGTGTGTGAGTAGATTTACTTCCCAGGAAAATGAGAAATCTAGTGTAGGCACATGCTGTACAAACATCATAATACAATTCAATTACCACAGCTTAACCCTGACCAGCAACACACCTGCTATTCTAGTCTGGACCACATGTCCAGAGATTGCTACTCATTTCAAACGGTGTGATAGACAACCGAGGACTAAAGGACGAATGTGACATTCACTCACTTTGTAAGCTTTTCAGAGTAGGGACTATTTTATTATTTGTTTGCACAGCACAATGAATCCCTGTCCTAACTGGCACTGCTGGGCAAAACTGTAATATAGATACTACTAATAATGGTAACCTAAATCAGACTCTGAACTTAGGCCTCCAGAGGTGAAAGGCTAGTACACTAACCCATGTGCATTTACCCTGACTTCCCCAGGATTCAAAACTTTGAATGTTGTGCAAATTTAATGGTGTACGGAGGAAATCGCCTATTCAGAAAAATCCCTGTTTAGAGAATTCCATTAGAGATAAGTACTTGTTGCCACCATTACACCCCCATATTTGGAGCTAAATGTGAGAAAGGACCATTTATATACCTGATATATAATACTATACTATGAATATATTTTAGCATTCCTTTTATTTATATACAATTACAGTTAATTAATGAATGACTAAGAAGTGAATTAAAATGTTTGTCTTGTTTATATGGTAGGGTTATTCACTCCATAGGGTTGTGATTTCTAAAGCGCACTACCATGTTGTGCATTAACTGGTCCATGTAGACCCTGCTGGTGCACTTTAATGTAGTTCTATTTGAAACTAAAGGTTCCCTAGTGTACACCAGCATGGTTTAGACAGCCAATTAATGCACAACATGTTAGTGTGCAGTAGAGTACTTTATTCCAGTGTGTAGACAAGCCCAAAGTCTTCCTGTTCTGATGTTAATATTTCTAGAACAGCATGTTTTTAAAAAATAATTTTGCTAGTGATAGACAGTGGTATTATGCCACCACACTGAAGATCCAAACTCAACAGTGACTTTAGGATTTTCAGTCCTTGGGTCACTGAAGTAAAAAGACAAGATGCGGATTACATTTAATTCTGGTGAAAATATGGAGTAACTCCATTGACTTAAAAGGAGTTGGTCCAGATTTATAGTTGTGGTATCGAGATCAGAATCTGGGCCATGTTGTGGGGTGGATAGGTGACTAGCTCTGTCTTTAGTGGGAGGGAGCAGAGAAAATGACATTATTATTACTATGTATTTGTATTACTGTGACATCTTATGTCTTCTCCATACTAGATAGTTAATGGAGCACAATTTAAAGGCAGCCTCTGAGGAAATCCTGCATTCTACCAGAGAAAGTACCATGAAGCTAGTAAAAGACAAGCTACAGACTTTTTATTTGTATAATAAACAGTAGCATCCAGAGGCTCTAACCAGAAGTGGGCCCCATTATGGTAGGCAATCAGGAATAACCCCATTTTGCTAGGCACAACACAGACACATAGGAACACACATTTCCTGCCCCAATCAACTTACAGTATAAGGGGAAAGGCAGTAGCTCCTATGAGAGGCACGTGAGCTTGGCCCACATTCTTGACAGCTGTGAAAATCTCTACTAACAAAGTTCAATCGATTTTTTTTAAAATTAAGCTTTAAAAGTTTTAATTAAATCTCCAGTGTTTCCAATTTGTTAGAGAATGGAAAGATTGCTGGAATATGAAAGAAGCTAGAAGAGGAAGAGTTACAAAAAGATAAGACGCACATGGATGTAAAGAAACACTATAGTGCTATTTCAGTCAGCTGCACTACATTTGTAATCAAGGAGTCAAGTTTTAGAACTGCAGTCAAGAAGGCATACAGTACAGTTTGCTCTGCTACTAGTGATTTTGAATCTGGAGCAGTGCTACTCAAAGTGGTGGTCCGCGGACCAGCACGCATTGGCTGCCGGTCTGCGTGCACATTGGAAAAAAAAATTGCCAGTCCCCCACATCAGATAGCTTGAGAAGCACTGATCTAGAGATTTCAGCAATGATGAATGCATCCAAATGATTGGCCATATATCTTTCTGATATTTCCTATGAAGATGACACCAAAACGTCAAAGGACAGCACTATTACTAATACCTGTTCAAAAATATACAAACTTTTAAATTAAAAAAGAAATGAACCATGCTTGATGTCCGTGGACTTGGAAAACACCAAAACTGCCATATAAATTAAAATATATAAATACTAGTAGGCCCTGTCCCACAGTAACTTTACTCAGGCAAAGCCTCTATTGATCTCAATGGTTATTTTGCCTAAGTAAGGACTGAAAGACCTGGCCAATACTTTACTTTTCATTTTCATACAAATAAATGTTGAAAAATATCATGTTCAGTCTCAATTTTATTTACTTTTTTTTGGCTATTACTCAGTGAATAACAAAGTGGTAGGATAGCCCAAGAAACCTTTTGGTATTAAAATGAGTCTCCTAATACATGTTAACATAAAAACATTATCTTTGTGTAACAATTTTGTATGTCTAAATGTTCAATTTGGATACTTTGTGGATTTTTGTAATAATGTAGCTTTGATACACTAACAAACTGTCCTGAATACCTCAGAGCTTATAGAGACAAGGTGGGTGAGGAAATAATATTTTATTAGACCAACTTCTGTTGGTGAGAGAGACAAGCTTTCTGTGTGTTCGAAAGCGTGTCTCTCTCACCAGCAGAAGTTGGTCCAATAAAAAATATTATATCACTCTCTTTGCCTCTCTTATAGCCTGGGACTGACATGGCTCAAGCTATACTGCATTGGACCTTATACCAATTCATAGAATCATAGAATATCAGGGTTAGAAGGGACCTCAGGAGGTCATCTAGTCCAACCCCTGGCTCAAAGCAGGACCAATCCCCAATTTTTGGCCCAGATCCCTAAATGGCCCCCTCAAGGATTGAACTCACAGCCCTGGGTTTAGCAGGCCAATGCTCAAACCACTGAGCTATGTGAAGAGGGGGTTAAAGTTTGTGTTTGTGGTCTCAGGTTATAAGAAACTGATTTTTTAAGACACAATAGATTTTTTCAGTTTTTTTCCCTTCATGGAAGTGAAGCCAAACTGCCCTTAAGAAAGATTACAGCATTTTATGCTGTCAAGAGGCAGAGAGAGGAGCACTGTGAAGTGCAGCTGAATGGAGGTGGTGGCCATGTTTGCTTTGACAGGTTATGGCCTCAGTCCGTTTTGTAAACAATGGGAGATGGTGTCTATTTTGAGAAGGCCATCTTAACAGAAGGCATATTCTTTTGAAGAAGACAATCCAAATACAGTAATGCATTTTGGCTTGGTTAAGATGAACATCAATCTTTATTGTTTCTAAAGGGAAACCATACCTTTACTTTGCACAATATATTATCTCTGGTTAATAAATATTGATCATCTCAGAAGAGGTAATTGCTGTTTATTGATGCCACCATCATAACATTTATATAAAAACTTAAAATCTAAAATACTTTTTTAGGTGTGTATGTTCGATATATAAATCTCTCCAACGATACAAGTAAACTATAAAATTTGTATCAATATAGTTTAATTTCACACTTTAAACAAATATAATTTGTACATAATTTATGTATTTATAAACTATAGTCTCAAATAGGATACAATTAAAATCTGGGTTTGCCTTATTTGACTGAATTCTATCTTCCACAAAAGTTTTATTTACTTCAAATGCCCTTTAATCATTGAATTGTTACAGTTTACGAAGTCCAAGAAGTGTATTCTTTATCCCACTATTCAAAGCTAATATATCAAGTGTGTAGTCTTGTAGTTCATTACATTTAGCGATCTGAAATTGAAGTGAAACAAAGCTTCCATTAGATGTGCCAATCACAAGTATATTAGATCTAAAGACAACTTTTGCTAAAACAAAACAAACTGTGCCTCCAGTCCTGCAGCAGGATCCATAAGCATGGATCCCTGCACCTCTGGAAAGTCCCACTGATTTCAACAGGGCTCTGCACGAATGCAGGAATCCATGCTAGCAAATTCAATTGTAGGATCATGGTCTAAATATCAGAGCATTAGCTTTTCAGGGAAAAAACAAAGACTTGTAAAGCAATGTGAAAGCGAATATTGTGACAAAACATTGCTCATTGCATTTCTTAATGTTTATGAGCTATGATTTTCATAGAATAAGTTTGGTATCACCGTTATCTCCCAAAACTCAAGAGAAGTAATAGTATGAGAAAATAAATTAAACTGCGTTCTTTAGATTTCTTTAGGATGGAATACATGGGAGATAGTTTGAAATACTATATTCCATTTCTCTCCCTAGTGCTTATGTCAGATTTAATAGTTCTGTCTATTACTTTCAACAAGCCCATCCTGACTGCTTCTGGCAGCAGTCAATGGCACTTTACTACCAGTTACCCATCTTTAAAGTTTAAGGCCTAGTCTAAATACGTTTTTTGTTCCAGAATAACTATTTCAAACAGGGGTGTAACTTTTTACTGAAATAGTTATATTGGTAGAACCTCTAGTGTGGACACAGTTACACTAGTACAAAGGTGCCTTATAACATCTTACCTTATGGAAGGGGGATTAAGATATACTGGTATAGAGCACCTTTATCTAGTATAACTGCATCCACACTGGGAAAAGGATGTGTACCACTTTAAAACAGTACAACATTTGTGTGTAGATAGGCCTTAGTTTCAATAATTAATAAAGGTATATGTGGAGCATCAAACATTCTGGTTTAGCCTTATCGGTATAAATAAAAACTTAGAACTGGCTCTGCAACGCAACAGGGCTGCTCACCTCCAGCATCTGGGCATCGTGGGAAAAGGAGGGCAATTAGAAGAGCATTTGGTGGCGGACATGATGGGGAAGAATATTATATACTTTCAACGTGAAGATTAAAAAAAAATCTAAATCACAAATGTGAAACACATTCCTATGTGTCAAATTTTCAAGAGTGTGCAGCTAATCTGGAGTTCCCCTACAATGTTTCGCACTACACAGGTGTGCGTGCAAAAATCATAGTTGCATGTGTAGTTAATTGATCTGTATGCAAATATTAGGTGTCTGCTCTTGAAAATGTTTTGCTACGAGAAACTAAAGAAAACAATCTAATTGTTTATTTACTGTGAATTCTTGAGTTTTGACAAATGAGGACTGAGACCAAATATATTCTAAATATAAACAACATAACACAAGGACTTTAAGAAATGGACTGTATATAAACCTATACTAAAAGAATGTTAATGTTGCAAAGTAAAGCACTCAGAAATTAGCAACTATCAGAGTCCCAATTTAAATACCATGCTCCAGGCTGTACTGGCTTTGATTAGCCATTATTACAGGTTTTATGTTGGCCACCAGAGGGAGCCAATTTTATTTCACATATACAATAGAAACAAAAAAGTCTGTTTTATTTTTAATAAAGATATGTTCCTGGTTCTCTGTACATTGTAGCAAGGGCAGAGGATATCAGAATCAGAACAGAGCAGGTCAATGATATCATATCATACAGCTTCTTAAGGTCAACACGTACATAATTTCATTTTAAATTAATCAGAATATACAAAAGAGGAGGAACAAATTCTGAAAATTATTTCGTCTATATGTGTCTTATCCTTTTGTCATTAACTAATTGTTCACAGGGGAAAGAAACACTACTGACTTTTATTTACTTTTTTATTTAAAAAATTCTTACTATTTTATAAACTATAAATATGAAATATCAAAGTAAATGGAAAGTGCTTACCTTGTGACATTTAAAGCCATTATACTTGTAGAAGGCCTGCTTTTTGATCCAGGGGGAGGATGAAAAATCCGTCCTTCTTTATTAGTTGTGATGGGCTTAGAATATTTAACCACATAGGGCTCAGCAGAATGCGAAGGATAAGAATCGAATGTTCCTGCTTTCATGCCTCCTGCCTGGAAAAGAAAAGGAAAGTTTCAAAGTGCTAATTTACAGTACAATTGCTTTAACTGTATTTTTCCGTACAAAGGTAACCCAGAACACGGCATGGCAAATCACATCATATTATGTACATATCAGAAAACCACATACCACATGTTTAAAGTCAACAGGAAACTGTTAAGAAAATTTACATAATTACATCGGTGAATACTTGATTGGACAAACTCTTTTCTATATATCCTGGATTATGAGGAAAGAATTTTAAAAATATAAAGGGGATTGTAAAAAAAAATTAAAATGTAGGGTTTTATTGTGGCAAAAACAGAACCGATAAAGATCACCACTGGTTCCCATCAGTACAGCTCCAATGGTGGTACCAATAGTGATACCATATGGCAGGATTCAAGCATTAATATCAACATGTTGCCTAACCATGCCCAGAGCACTAGACAATATGGTTGTAGTTGCAACACTGGCTAGTCTCTACCAGCCCTCCCACTAGAACAGCAATGAGAAGGGTGAGGAAGGGGTGGTACCACCTGCATCCTGGTGTTCTCAGATTTGGGGGCGCTGCACAGTTCTGAGTCCTTCAGACGAGTGCTAGGCGGAGGAGTTATCTTATTTTATTCCTACTGTTATGAACTGGGTGAAACCTTGTTAACAGTGAGTTAAAACCTCATTCAGATTGATAGGTGTGAACTCACCCTTCAGTTAACATAACTGTAAGCATAAACCCCCACCCAAGACAAAAGGCATGTTTGAACCTGCCCAGGAGCTTTTGGCTGAGTATTGTTTGAGTAGAGGGTGTGTGTGAGGAGCGAGCATATAGAAATTAAGGACAGACAAGAACATAGAGAGAGGGAAAGGCAAGAAAACCAAGCAGGAGCCTGTAAGCACAGCATGACTCTAGAACAAGCTAGAGAGTGAGCTTTGGGTCTGGGGTTGGCTTGGGGGCTGTAAGCAAAGAAACTGTTCCTTTTGTTCTTGATTCTTTCTGCGTTCAGAGACACAGGATTTTGTTCATTCCTTGTAAATAAACAAGAGTGTATCAAGGAAAATACCAGACTCCATCAATTTATACTTCCAACTGGAACATCCCCAGGGCCTCGAACTCTGACTAGCTGCTCTGGTCGAAAACGGGCAACTTTACATATAAATTTGATTAACTAAATTTTAACAATTGCTCTGTGCTGATTTTAAAGATAAGCCTTTTTCAAGTTATTTAGAACATGGGTTATATGACAAAGTGACTCACCAGCCAGTGAACCACCTTGTGGCTTGGTGCAGCACTGTCAGGGTTTTCCTCTCTCTAACCTTACTGACCCCACCATTCAGATCTGCTAGTGCCCTCCTTAGTCTGGTGACTTATACCTCCAGCCAGGTCACTTTTTAGCCTCCCACTTTCAGGGGTAAGTCAGAGTTCAGTCCAATAACAGTACAACTCTAGGCCCACTGGGCCTTACTGTTGTACCAATAAAATAAAAACCAGCAGGATCTTATTAAAGGGAAAAAGGCAAAATACCACATTTACTGTGAATACAGAAAGAGTCATAGTAAGCAGTTAGTTATAGTTATAACATTCCATTCAATCTCAAATTTATTCTCACATTCATTCATACAAACACACACACACACACAGGTTCTGCAAGGTTGTTATCATAGTTACCAGCCTTAGAGTTGCTCATGCCAAGCCACTGGCCAGGTGGCCTGGACATGAGGAGGGAGCAGGGCCTTGTCAGATGCTCATCTGATGCTCCTGGAAGTTGGTTTGCAGAATCAGACCCCAAAGTTCTCACTTTTTAGAGTCTATTTTTATAGGAATTTCTTCCTATCGCAGTCTATGAGAATTGCTTCATCATGCTGTTGCTGAATCAATCAGCAGATAGCACATTCCTGACGGCTCCAAGATGTTATCTTGTTCTTTGGTTCTCCCATTCTTGAGGCTGCTGGGTGGATTCCAGTCTGCCCTCCGGGGGTCCTCTGGTTATTTCCACTTGACGCCTTCTTCAGCCGATGGACACTGGATTCTTAGGCTGGCACCTCCCTGATCATTCAGTTATTATCCACACCAAGCATCCATCCACATACATCCTCTATCTCTATTTTAATCACAATTGTTAATACAACAAAAGGGTGGGGAGTCTCTGGGTGCTGTTTCTGTTGTTAGAGTATTGTTTTGAGTCTCTCTCTCTGTGAATTGCTTTGAGAATAGACTCTGTCTTAGAATGTACTAACACAATTAGCAGCTTGCAAGTTTCACACATAGAGGGAGAGAAACAGTACCAAAACCCAAGAGACCTCTTAATTAGTAATACCCTGGAATTTAAACTCTGGGGAATCAAACTCATTTGTGATTTTAATACAGAACTTCTTTAATATGATCCAACATAATAAGCCTTGTCCAGGGGCTTCACCAGGATTTTCATTGGCTGTCCGTAGGGGAACCCAATCCCAACCTCTACCCTGGGTTTCTGTCCAGGACTCCTGTAGCAGGCACTTAAGTTCTTCTTCCCAGGCGCGCACCTTAGAGGGAACTATTGCGGACCACCTGAATGGAGTTCGCAGTTCACAGGTGGTCTGCGGACCACAGTTTGAGACCCTCTGGTCTAGTTATTACGTAGTCCTGTCTTGAGTGAAGGGGAATAGACTAGATGACCTACTGAGGTCTCTTCCAATCCTACTCTTCTACGATTTTTGTCTTCTATACAATATGATTTAAACTTTCTACAAGAACACCACCAAATATTTTGATTTTCACTTTTTGCTACAGTACTTAAAGAGAGCAGACTCACCTTTTTAGCAGGAGAACTTGGTTTAAAGGGGTGTGCAACTGGCTTTTCTGGGGTTGGTTTCTTAGCTGGTGCCAAAGGTTTATCATCAAGATATGGATTTATGTCAAAATATTCCCGAGGATAGAGATTTAACTTGAAAGGCCCTCCTTTAACCAAACGCAAATGGTCTTCATGCACCTTCTGTAAAATAAGTAGTTTTAAAGGTATTACCTTGGGCATTTTTACCTCAGATTATTCTGAATAGAAAAAAATAAAAAGAGATTTAAATTCAATCTTGAAAAAAAAACTTACTTTTAGCAATGTATTTAATGTAATTTCCTCTGCCAATGTTAATCCTGGCTTCTACATATACCTTTGGCACAACATAATGCATAACGAAACAATCCATTGAGAACAACAAATGCTAGGAAACTATGACACACTAAAAGAAGAATTTAAGGACTTCTTAAAATAAGTAAATTAAAAAACTCTTTAAGATCTCAAATTAACTAAAGGACACATGGTACATGTATGGACTTTAACATTACAAATACAGTACAACCTTGCTAATTCATGCTAATGATGGGGAACAAATTTTCACTGCTTAATGAATAAGAAACAAATGTTGCCCTTCTTCAGAGGACAGAGGTACCTGTGGCAACCAAAACAATGTGCTTCTACTGCATAAGGAGAAGACAGGATTTGGGGAGTTATACAATTGGTGGTACACCTTTTTTAAATTTAAATTTAGAGCTTGCATGATGTGCCAGATTGACAACCCAGGAGAATTAGGTCCTTTATTTATCCTCCAGCTTCACCACAATGACCGGCTACGGGTTGACTTGTAGAGACCAACCACCTCTAAGACCAAAAGGATACTTCATTCTCTAACTCCATTCAGTCCCTGATATTTCTCTTTTGTGTTCTATTTGAAGAGCTGAACAGAGAACTTGTGTGGAGGCCAGTGTGGTGACAGTGTGAAACTTAGGTCTTGTCTTCACTACTGTGCTGTATCAGCGCATCTAGTGAAGACGTGCTTCATCAACAGGAGAGCACTCCCCCATCGATGTAATTACTCCACCTCAATGAGAGGTGGAAGCTATGTCGGCAGGAGAGTGTCTCCCATCAACATAGACCAGTATAGACACCGCTTTAAGTCGATGTAACTTATGTCACTGAGGGGGGTGGTTTTTTCATGCCCTGAATGATGTAAGTTACATTGACTTAAGCGGTAGTGTAGACAAGCCCTTAGTCATTCTGGATAGCTCCTCCCCTATTTCTGGTTGGACTTGTATTATGTTACATGTTTCTAATCAGAGATGAGCCCCACACAAACCCTAAATCTAAACACACTCAGACTTCACAGGGTTCAGTTCTGGATCTGAACTTTGCAACTTGGGCCCAAACTACCAAAAAAATTTGCAATTTGGGTCATTCAAACTAATAAAAAATTAACCTTTCTAACCCAAATGTGAATTAGTGGCAAACAAAACCCCATTCTTGATGCTGAAACTTATAATATAAGTAAAGTAAAAGCTGTTTTATCTGGCTCTTCACCAACTGGAAAGCTCTATAAACTAGCATTTCTGATCTTCACTGAAATTCCGGTTTATAGTTTGGTTGGCGCGGGGCCGGCAGTGGGTTGGGGCACGGGAGGGGGTGTGGAGCGTGGGCTCTGGGAGGGAGTTTGGGTGCAGGAGGGGGATGGGGGTGCAATGTGCCAGATCTGGGGGCTGCTCACCTTGGGCGGCTCCTCACAAGCAGCGACCTGTCCTGGCTGCTCCTAGGCGGAGGTACGGCAGGCAGCTCTGCATGCTGCCACCATCCTGCCCTGAGCACTAGCTCCGCAGCTCCCATTGGCTGGGAACCACAGCCAATGGGAGCTGCGGGGGCAGTGCCTGCAGGCGCCTGCCGCAACTTTGCCTCAGAGTGGGCAGGACAGGGAGCTGCCTGAGGTGAGCACCCCCTGGATCCGGCACCCTGAAACCCCTCCCATGCCCCAACCTGCTGCCCTGAGCTCCCTGCCACACCCAAACTGCCTCCCTGTTAGTTAACTGGCATTTTTCACTTACTGGGCACCCCCATTCCCCCAATATGCTGGATAAAACAACTTTTACTGTATTTTTTACCTCAAAATCTCAATTTAACTCCAAAAAGATATTAGTTTGTGGTAAAAATATAAAGCTCAAAAATACTTATTCCTATGGCAAAAAAGCCCTCTTTCAGCTATCATTGTTCCCCATATATGATGAAAATATACAATATTAGTGAGATTGATACATATAAATATAGCAGCCTTCTCATATTTACTAAGTTATTTAGTGAAATACAGACGATATGCTCTATTTTTGAACAGCCCCTGATAAAATAGAGTCCCAGCCCATGACTGGGGTTCCTAGGAGCTACCACAATACAAATAAAAATAAATAAATAAATAAAAATTAATTTGGGTCTCTCTTTCTCTCTCTGAATTCAATACTTTGGGTCAAATCCTTAGCCCACTGCATAGCCCAAGCAATAGGACTCTGTGCTGGAGTGACTAAGAGGGAAAGGAATGATATATTTAACAAAAAAGGCAATTTATCTGCAGTCCACTTGGCAAATAAATTAATACTGGTTGCTTTAGGCTAAAAGAAAAACCACAGGAAATATTTTTGCAAAAAAATCCTGTTTGCAAATAGTGATTAAATAAAGTTACTGAATAGTTTTACCTTTGCATTCATTTTTCCGATTTCATACACCTCACTTGAGTGTGGATACTGTTTACCTATGGTAAGATTTGGATATCTGTGTAAAGAAAATTAGTAATGGTGACTTCAAAGTTCAGCATTTAATGAAATGCTGTTCAGGGAATTATACTGAATGTTTTACCCATATCCAGTTCCTTTCTTTCCAGGATTTGTGTAAAGGTTCTTTCCAGGAGGAGCATATGCTGTTTTCCCTTTTAGTTGTGCACTGAAGAATGGATATGGACCACCTATAGTTCCATAATAAGTACCCACTCCGCATCTGAAATATAAAATAAACACATAATACAATAATTATTGTTAGTAACAATAAATTAATAATTAGTACCCATTCAGTGCTCTATAGCTTCAAAATTCTGAATGATATTAATTGAAAAACAAGCAACTAACATTTTTGGAGTAAACATACAAAAGTTGAGGTTCTGTTCATTCCGCATGTACAACAACGATCCTATACACAGTGTGGTAGAGGCACACAGTGGGAGTAGATGGGGACAGAGTTAAAGTTTTGGGGCACCTTAGTTGTGCATGTCCACACTCGTCAATGTTTGGCTTTTGGTTTGTTTGCTTTACATTTTCTTTTAACATGTTCCTGCTTTTCACTGTTGTTGTTTTTATGTCAACCTTATATTAAGGGTATTTTTAGATATTTACAACCTTAATTATATTTTACCAACATTTTTTGTATTGAATTTCCTACTGTATGTTTTCCCAACACTTTTTAAGAATGAAGAGGTACTCTCAGGCCCAGGTAGCCAGGGTCTTCAGAGCAATTTCCTGATATGGGGCTTAAGACCCCTGTAAGGAATTAGCTTCAACTATACATGTCCCCAATATGCATTTTATTAAAGAGCATGCAGGCTCTTACACATATTTTATAACAGCCGACATCAGCCATGTAAACATATGAAAACAAATATTAATATATAAAACTTCCATCAGTGCCCCCCAACTAGTGAAAGGCATTGCTAATCATCAAAGGCAATGGCAAACAAATTTGGGATTTTGCTATTATAGAAAACAAAAGTTGGAAGAACTTCAAAAAGTGATAACAGAATCATAGAATATCAGGGCTGGAAGGGAATTCAGGAGGTCATCTAGTCCAACCCCCTGCTCAAAGTAGAACCAATCCCCAACTAAATCATCCCAGCCAGGGCTTTGCCAAGCCAGGCCTTAAAAACCTCTAAGGAAGAAGATTCCACCACGTCCCTACGTAACCCATTCCAGTGCTTCACCACCCTCCTAGTGAAAAAGTTTTTCCTAATATCCAACCTAAACCTCCCGCACTTCAACTTGAGACCATTACTCCTTGTTTATCATCCATAGAGCCAGTTATCTCATCATAGAAGGTAATTAGGTTTGTCAGGCATGACTTGCCCTTGGTGAATCTATGCTGACTGTTCCTGATCACTTTCCTCTCTTGAAGTGCTTCAAAATTGATTCCTTGAGGACCTGCTCCATGATTTTTCCAGGGACTGAGATGAAGCTGACTGGCCTGTAGTTCCCCAGATCCTGCTTCTTCCCTTTTTTAAAGATGGGCACTACATTAACCTTTTTCCAGTCATCCCAGACCTCCCCCAATTGCCGTGAGTTTTCAAAGATAATGGCCAATGGCTCTGCAATCACATCTGCCAACTCCTTTAGCACCCCCGGATGCAGTGCATCTGGCCCCATGGACTTGTGCTCGTCCAGCTTTTCTAAATAGTCCTGAACCCTTCTTTCTCCACAGAGGGCTAGTCACCTCCTCCCCATACTGTGCTGCCCAGTGCAGTAGTCTGGGAGCTGACTTTGTTCGTGAAGACAGAAGCAAAAAAAGCATTGAGTACTTTAGCTTTTTCCACATCCTCTGTCACTCGGTTGCCTCCCTCATTCAGTAAGGGACCCGCACTTTCCTTGACTTTCTTCTTGTTGCTAACATACCTGAAGAAACCCTTCTTGTTATTCTTAACATCTCTTGCTAGCTGCAACTCCAAGTGTGATTTGGCCTTCCTGATTTCACTCCTGCATACCTGAGCAATATCTGTATACTCTTCCCTGGCCATTTGTCCAATCTTCCACTTCTTGTAAGCTTCTTTTTTGTGTTTAAGATCAGCAAGGATTTCACTGTTAAGCCAAGCTGGTCGCCTGCCATATTTACTATTCTTTCTACACATCGGGATGGTTTGTCCCTGCAACCTCAATAAGGATTCTTTAAAATACAGCCAGCTCTCCTGGACTCCTTTCCCCCTAATGTTATTCTCCCAGGGGATCCTGCCCATCAGTTCCCTGAGGGAGTCAAAGTCTGCTTTTCTGAAGTCCAGGGTCCGTATTCTGCTGCTCTCCTTTCTTCCTTGTGTCAGGATCCTGAACTCAACCATCTCATGGTCACTGCCTCCCAGGTTCCCATCCACTTTTGCCTCCCCTACTAATTGTGAGCAGCAGGTCAAGAAGAGCTCTGCCCCTAGTTGGTTCCTCAAACACTTGCACCAGGAAATTGTCCCCTGCACTTTCCAAAAACTTCCTGGAATGCCTGTGCACTGCTGTATTGCTCTCTCAGCAGATATCGGGGTGACTGAAGTCCCCCATGAGAACCAGGGCCTGTGATCTAATAACTTCTGTTAGTTGCCTGAAGAAAGCCTCATCCAACTCATCCCCCTGGTCTGGTGGTCTATAGCAGACTCCCACCATGACATCATCCTTGTTGCTCACACTTCTAAACTTAATCCAGAGACTCTCAGGTTTTTCTGCAGTTTCATACTGGAGCTCTGAGCAGTCATACTGCTCTCTTACAGACAATGCAACTACCCCACCTTTTCTGCCCTGCCTGTCCTTCCTGAATAGTTTATATCCATCTATGACAGTCATGTGAGTTATCCCACTAAGTCTGTTATTCCAATCACATCATAATTCCTTGACTGTGCCAGGACTTCCAGTTCTCCCTGCTTGTTTCCCAGGCTTCTTGCATTTGTGTATAGGCATTTAAGATAACTTGCTGATTGTCCTGCTTTCTCAGTATGAGGCAGGAGTCCTCCCCTCTTACGCTCTCCTTCTCGTACTTCCTCCTGGTATCGCACTTCCCTACTTACCTCAGGGCTTTGGTCTCCTTCCCCCAGTGAACCTAGTTTAAAGCCCTCCTCACTAGGTAAGCCAGCCTGCTTGCGAAGATGCTCTTCCCTCTCTTTGTTAAGTGGAGCCCGCCTCTGCCTCGCAATCCTTCTTCTTGGAACACCATCCCATGGTCAAAGAATTCAAAGCCTTCTCTCCGACACCACCTGCGTAGCCATTCGTTGACTTCCACGATTCGACGGTCTCCACCCGAGCCTTTTCCTTCCACAGGGAGGATGGACGAGAACACCATTTGCGCCTCAAACTCCTTTATCCTTCTTCCCAGAGCTACTTAGTGTGCAGTGATCCGCTCAAGGTCATTCTTGGCAGAATCACTGGAGCCCACGTGGAGAAGCAGGAAGGGGTAGCGATCTGAGGGCTTGATGAGTCTTAGCAGTCTCTCCGTCACACCGTGAATCCTAGCTCCTGGCAAGCAGCAGATTTCTCGGTTTTCCCAGTCGGGGATAAATAGCTCATTTTCCTAACTACAATTATAAGACCCATTTTCAGTTGTTTATAACTTTGCCAAACTTTAAACATTCAGAATGACATTTTCCATGTCAAGTGTCTCTTTGAAGCTGATTTTTTTCTATACCATTTCAGCCAAAATGGCTGTGTCATTTTGGAGAATGAGGCTAGAGAAAGATAAATTGTTTTGATAAATAGCCCATTTTTCTAACTACAATTTCTTTAAAAATACTTTAAAACAAATTAATTTTAAATTTAGGGAGGAAAAAAATTGTTTTGCCCACAGTGAAAAAGTCTGGCTACCTTTTCTTTGAAATGCTCTGGTGCCCCCATGCTTTAGAGCAGTGGTTCTCAACCAGGGATACACAGAGGTCTTCCAGGGGGTACATCAACTCATCTAGATATTTGCCTAGTTTTACAACAGGCTACATGAAAAGAAGTCAGTACAAACTAAAATTTCATACAGATAATTACTTGTTTATACTGCTTTATATACTATATCAGGAATTCTCAAAATGGGAGTTGTGATTTATTTTATAATTATATGGTAAAAATAAGAAAGTAAGCAATTTTTCAGTAGTAATGTGCTGTGACACTTTTGTATTTTTATGTCTGATATTGTAAGTAGTTTATAAGTGAGGTGAAACTTGGGTATGTAAGACAAATCAGTTTCCTGAAAGGTTGAGAACCACTGCTTTGGAGCAGGGACTTGAAATTCAGCAAAGGGTGGCTTTTGTGTCAGGAATGGACATTTGGTTATCCCTATAAAAATAGAGTTGAATTTGGGCAAATTATAAACCTTTAAAAAAACTACAGTTTGCAAATGCTCGGTAGAGACTAGCTAAAGATAAACAGCTAAAATCTCCAAAGATTCCATCCTCCCTGGGCGTACTCAGCCTCTCACATCTCCTAGTGCTGACCAGACTGCACATGCACCATCCCCACAGAGCAATTGAGCATCCTCCAGCCCAGAACTACAGGAATTCAGAAAGACTTTCCTTGTAACAGCTGCTCCTAGTTGCTCGAGGCTGGGGTGGGGTTGGGCACTGCAACTGAGAGCAGTAGGCAGTTTCTCCTCAGCTCTGGATCACCCTGCTGCTGGCACCCAGACAGCATGGTGGGGGAACCTATCTGATTCTAATGCACGGAGGAGAAAATCCAGGCCAGGAGGGATGGGAAGGACTAGATTAGAGCAAGAAGACTGGTGAGACTGGAGGTGGAGGGGGAGAAACAGTGACAGGGAGTTGGAGGGAGAGACTGGGACTGGTTGTGCAAAGACACTGGGACTGGGGGCACAGGAAATGCTTGGGCAAGGAGACTGGGAGCTAGGGGGGAAGTAGAGGCTGTGACTGGAAGCTAGTAAGGGAACAGAGGAAGAAAACTGGAAGCCCGTTAGCTGGGGAGTGGAGAACACTGAGATGAGATGAGGAATTGCGGGGAGGGAGGGAGGAACTGGGACTGGCTGGGTAGAGGGGATGAGACAAGCAGCCAGGGAGGGAACATGGGGGGAATCTGAGATTGGATGAGGACCCCAGAGAAGGAGACTGGGACAAGGAGGTAGTGGGAGGGGGAAGAGGAGAGATCAAATCAGATGAGGAGCTGGGCATGGTGGAGACTGGGATTGACTGGGCAAGGAAACTGGGGACCAGAGCCATCCCTAGGGTATGGCACATTGTGGCAACTACCCCGGGCCCCACGCTTTGGAGGGTC